AAGGGGAGTTCCCGTGGTAACCAAAAAATTGGCAACTAAGTGTGGACGATGACAACAAAATGGAGTAACACGTGTCAAGGCTTCTAGGATGCAGCTGCGAGGCCAGTAAAGCAGTGCAGCTTATGCACGCCTCTACCCAGATGGAATGTAAACTTTTGGACTGTTCTTCACTGCTGTCATTCCTACCCTCTTTCAAGAAATAGGCTTACTCCCATCGATAAGAACTTTTTGCCTTAGAGCTGGCCTTAGCAACCAATTACCTATGGCCAAGAAGTAACAATTGTTGCCAGCACCAATCACAAATGTCACAAAACAACCTCTGTAATTTATCTCCTCTTGCCTTTCTAAATCCTTGCCTCTTTTGTTCTCCTGGAAACACATTTGAGTTTCTACTCAAACCTGTGTCTCCCGAAGGGCAATTCTTGAAACCCCAAATAAACTTTTTGTTTCTCCTGCGGTTTATGCCTCTTATTCGTTGACATAAGTTATCCTTTGGACTCTCATGAGTTAGATTAGTGGTAGTGGGTCCCACAGAGCCCTGCCAACCCTATATTTCCAGACTGAGCTTCTGGATCTGCAAGGCCAGACTCTGGACTAAGTTCTTCCTCTGCAGGTTCTGCTATCCTGAGACCGGGCCAGTCAGCTGCCCTCAAAGGAGCTCCATCTCCTCTCGGATTCTGCAAGTCCCAGGTGCTTAGTATTTAAAGAAACTTGCGGCAAATTCCTTTTGCAATGGAGACAATCCCTCCCTGATTGAAAAGTTCACAACCACTCGTTTATACATTGTATTTCTCAAAGCCGGCCACATAGGCACGCACCCGCAAAGAAGGCTACCCGGCACAGTTCACCCTCTCCTTTCCCACCGCAAGATAATACACTCAGTTAAAACCCCCTGATCAGCCAGCCTACAATCATTTTGATGCTTGTGTCTGCGTCTACAGCATAACCACCAGTCCCTTGACAAGTCAGCTGATTGTTCTATCAGGAGACTTCCCTCTTATTGGCCTTGATGCGACTTTCTTCTTTCGTGTGAGCCAAAACTTTTTCTCATCCCCAGACAACGGTGTTCTTTTGTTAAAAATAGAAAAATATAGCATCCTGTGAAAATGGCAAGAATTTCCATAGGAATTGTCTTACTTGGATCCTTGCCAGTGTGGCATTGAATGCATGCCTGCAGAATGAAGAGACCTGAAGTGACCTCCCCAGGTGATTTTTTCTTTGGATGACTGCACTTCAGGTTTTGGAAGAATCCAATAGAACATGAGATTGGCAAAAGGAGACAGAGGGATCCACCTGGAAATGAGGCAGGGCGGCAGCCTGCCCCCACCCCCTCCCACCCCTCCCCACCCCCACTCCCCACTTCACCCCTCCACTGAGAATAAATTGAACTAACTGGATAAGAAGCTAAGGCCAGGGGTCTGGGACACTGGAAGGGGTTAGGAAGACTTTCATTATCTTGCCAATGGTAATGCATAGGTGCAGCTGGTTTAGAGCAAGTCACCTGAAAATAAGTCAAATTCTAAACCCACTGGGTAAAATCTTTGCTGAACAGATCATTAACTGTCCACATTGTAAAGAGCAATAAAAACCCTTCCACAAGAAACTAAGAGCCAGTTGGGGGCATTTGTCTTGAGCCTGGTGGCAGAACAGTGTGAAGAAGGTAATCAACACCTGAATTCAAAATGGCAGCTTCATCCTGTATGGAACTGGGCCAAAGGCTGTGAAAATAGCCTGGGGCAACCCATTGATAGAAGTGAAGGGAAGAAATCTAAAGTAGTAGGTACTCCTGATACCTAAATGATTAGAGTTTGTTTCTCTTGTGTTTGAGTTGGGTATTTCAATACTTTTTAATAGATGTAGAACTAGTCATAGGTGAAAGTGCTTCATAAAATGCAAAAGGCTAAAAAAAGACCTGTTGCATTTTGTTAGCCAGTTGCTATTGTCCTAATTCATAGTTTACGTATTAAAAATTTCAGGTGAGTGCCTGTGTTACTGTCTCAGTTAGTGCCCCGTCTCTGGTAAGGCATCACAGCTGCTGTGCCTGGGCACCTCTACTCATCTGGAGTACTATCAAGATTCAGGTGTCCAGGAAGAATTGATGCTCAGAACTTAGCTCAAGAGCAGAGCTTGTCAAACTGTACGGTGCCTTCAAATCACCTGGGCAGATTCTGATTCCCTGGGTCTGGGTGAGGCCTGAGATTCTACATTTCTAACAAGCTCCCAGAGGATGCCCATGCTACTGGTCCAGGGACCACACTTTGAGAAGCAGGGCTTGGCACTACACAGTCTGCAACCTCAGTTCTCTTTTCACTCATAGAATTTTCAAGGAGGTGGATTCAGTGTGTAACTGGTTGGGCCAATTGTCTGGAGCAGTGCTTCTCAAAGTGTGGTCCAGGGACTAGCAGCATGGGCATCACCTGGGAACTTGTCAGAGATGTTAATTCATGGGCCCCAATCCTGAGGATTTCTAAACCAGGAACTCAGGGGGTGGGGCCCAGTATCTGTGTTTTGATAAGCCCTCCATGTGATTCTGATGCCCACCAGCGCTTGAGGACCACTGCTCCAGCACATTAAAATCACCTGTGAAGTTAAAAAATTCAAGAGCAGGGTCCCGTCCCAGAGAAGCTAACTTGGTCATTCTGGGGTAGAACCCAGGCATGGGGATATTTTAAAGGGAGCCATGGAGATTCTAATGTGCAGTCAGCATTGAGAACAGCTGGGCTAGAACAGAAAGCCAATCCTGCTCACGTAGGAGAGTCTGCAGAAAAGCATCTCAGTGACCACTACAGGCTGGCTGCTGGGCTGGACAACTATCTGAATGATGTGCACCCCAGGTCTGCAGGGCGACTGGGTCAGAGTGTGGACAATGCAGAACTAGGTCCTCTCTCCTCACCCTGACACTCACCTGCATCCCTGGCTATTCTCTCTCCTTTTGCTCACAAGGTGCTCTGGCTGGAACACCCTCCTGCTGTACTGTCACCAGCCAGAAGTTTCACCCACCCTAAACCCAAGTCTTCAGAAATCCCTTCCTACACTCCCTTGCCAGATGAAATTTATCCTTGCATAGAATTTCATGGCATGTTATTTGCAATTCGTATTTTCCTGTATCACCTACATTTCTTGACTCTTCCCCTCCACTGAATTATAAACTCTTGGACACCAAGAACTGTCTAACACTCAACTTTGTATCTCTTTCTTCAGTGTAAGTGCTGCACTGTGAACCCGGGAGGCATTCACTAAATATTGTGGAAGATGACGTGAGTGGAGCCATATTAAAATAGAGCCAGAGCAGCCACTTTGGAGGCATTGCCTTGCACATCTTGTTTTCCCTATCTTGCAAACTGGACCAAAATGCCAACATTCCAAGAAGTCAGTAAGGATAAGAATATCCTGTCTGTAAGGACTGATGAAACTAGACTTTTCTGATGACTGCATTGCTAACCAATCAGTGAAGTACAAGTCTAGCGTTTGCCTGAAGATCGACCTCAGGTCAATCTAAGAAGTCGAAATCCAGCCTCACCTTACCCAACACCAACGCACTCTTCTTTAATACAGCTCACTTCATCCTCCCCCTTTGCCATAAAAACCCTAAGCTCTTCTCCTATAATCAGGACACTATTTGGGTTTGTACGTGAATCTGTGCTCCCCAAATTGCAATTCGTTGATCCCAAAAAAACGCTTTGCCTCTTAAACTGGTTTCTGTTTTTGTGGGTTGACAATATCTTCTTGAATCTGGGGTCAGGACATCTGGGTTTGAGGCTTGCAATTAGTGGCTGTGTGACCCAGGTCGTCAGATCTTTCTCAGTCTCACTTCTCTGTAAAATTAGGATGTTGAACTAGATGATCTTTAAGGTCCCTTCCAAATCTCAGATTCTATGATTCAGTGTAGTCTATTCTTACCCCTGAAAAAATAAGTCTAAACATAAGCCTTACTGATGATGGGTGTAGTTGGCCACTGGGTTCGAGATGAACACAAATTCTTTGATCCTCTTCCCAGAGAGAGGTGGGGTATTTCCCCTCCTCATGATTCTGGGCTGCACTGTGACTTGCTTTGACCAGTAATAGACTGCAGCAGAAGTGACACTGTGTCAGTTCTGGGCACAGTAAATGGGCATCTGAGGCAGGATTGGGGTGAGGTAGGGGGATAGAAGGTGAGGAAGAAATTGCAAACACCGGGGGACTCCAAAGAAAGGCCTCTAATAGGGTCTGGCTTTATGTGTCCTGGAACACTTGCTGTTAGGGGCCTGAACTCTCATGTAAGAAGTCTGGCCACTTTGCTGGAGAGACTACATGAGGAGGCCTTGAGTCTGCATGGAGACAGAGGGGCCCATGGAGTCCAGCCTCACAGCCACCCCTGCCGAGGTGTCAGGTATGTGAGTAAAATTGTTTTGGACCCTCCAGATCAGCTCCACCACTAGCTGAATACCACTGAGTGATCCCAGTGGAGGCCGCCTGGAGCAGGAGAACCACCTGGCTGAGCCCTGCCCTTTTTCCTGATCTACAGAATCACAATACAGAATAAAATGGTGCTGATTAAGTCACCAAGTTTAGGGTAGTTCCCTAGGCAGCAATAGATAACAGAAAACTGTGTAAATAGCACTATCCTTGTATGTGACATTCTATGCAGTTTAACCTGCAAATATTGGAATAGATGGAGAAAATGTATACAGATACACACAGAGATAATATGGGCTTGTGGAAGTACATGACATTTTGTGCTATTCCTACTGACTTTGATTTCTCGAGTCAATTAAATGGCCTGTGGATACGTTTCTAGAGCATAATACACAACCACCAAAAACAAGGGCCTCCTTGAGAGTTGTGCTCAAGGCCTATGCGGTAGCACCAAGCACAACGTGAGACTTGTTAAACGGATGCAAGAGGAGCCAGGGGATTGTAATGAAGGCTTGAGAAGGTGGAGCCCTCCAACAGACAGGACGTGGTCTGCTCCCGAACGCAGTGTGACCATTTCCTCCAGTGAATTTTCAGTGTGGGAGAGATTTGCAAATTGAAAAGGGGGATTTTATTTCCTCTTCTCCCAATGAATTTAAACCTCCTCCGATCCCAGGGAGATTTTCCGTGCAGTATAATCAGGACACTTTCAGAATCACAGTCTCTTTTTCTGAATGTGTTTCTTATGTAAATGCCGCATCAGAGAAATTTCTCTCTGTTTTACACTTTGATTCTGCTTTTAAAACCTGCAAAATAGAAACACAGAGAAAGACACCTTGAAAATACTTTGGGTTTCATCTATTTTCCATTTTTACCTCAGGTTTCTACATTTGTTTTTTACCCTTATTCTTTAAGTCAAGTATATTTTAAAAATATCCTCTGTTGAACTGGGAACGCAAAGAAAAATGATGATTCCTGAACATTTAGGCTGCCCAAATATATCAAGAAATACAAGGCACTTCGTACTGATCTAATAATCCTCAGAAAGCCACAGCGAAGTCAGGTGGCCCAGAGCGGGGGAGTCAGGGGACAGTTACATCCCCCATGTCACAGCGCTTCTTGAGGCAGTGTGGGGGAGGAGGCGAAAAGAGCCTGGCTCCATAGATCTCTTTCAAGAAGGTTTTCTTTTCTTCCTGACTCCCTCCCACTTCCTCACCCCCTGCCCGTGGTGTCTGTGGCCCACCCACGGCACCCACACAGCGACGGTCATACACCACCTTCCTCTGGTGATCTGTTCACGTCTATGGCCCCCTTGGGAGCATCAGCCATGAGGGGAGAAGCCGGCTTCTATCTCATCTCCATATCCCTGCCCACAGCAAAACCAGCAGCTAATGAATAAAAACACTTAATGAATGAACCATTGAATGACTAGGTTTGAATTCCAACTCAGGCACTTACTAGCAGCATTTCCTTGGGCAAGTTATTTCCTCTCTGAGAAGACCCTGGTTTCCTCTTTGTGAGGCGGGAAGCATGGCAACTGCCCCCCTCCTCCCGGGGGGAGTTGTAAGGAATAAAGGGTAACATCTGGGAAGTCTGGGGCAGCATGTGCCAGGCACACAGTAGGTCCTCAGCTAAGGTTCGGTAACTCCTCTTCCCCAGACACATCTCCTAAAGCTGAGCCCACAGATGGATGGGGCCCTGTGTCTGTGCTAAGGGAGCACCTGCAGGGCCTGCCCTGCCCACAGTACCGCCCCACATCCTAGTCATCACTGAATTCAACTCCCTCAAGAACTGGTCCTTTAAGATGAGGCTTCGATTCTACTTAAAAGGTAAACCTTGGGGAGGGTGAAGGGGACCAGTTGAGGCTGTTATCAGTCACTGAAACCTCAGTGTGGACCAGTCCCAGGCAGGTCCTTCTCATAGAATGCATTGTAATGGAGAAGCGAGGGAGAGAGGGCAAATGGCGCAGAGGCAGGGCTGGGAATGGGATAAGGGGAGAGACGGTGAGGAGGAAGGTGGGAATGTTGGGATTCCAAAGAAAAGGATCAGAAGGGGCTGCCTGGTGTAGAGGAACACATTGCCCAGTTGGAGAGATTAGAGTTCAAATGTGAACTCTTCCAGCAGCTGGAAGCGTGATTGTAAGCACGTTACTTAACCTCTTTGAACTGTAGTTTTCTGATCTGTAAAATGGGGCTAATACTAGCTACTGCCTGGGGCGACTGCGGATTAAGTGAGGCAACACACACGAAGTGTTCAGTGGATGGCTGGTGCTCTTGAGGCAGGAGGCACTGGGGGTGCAGGGGAGAGGCCGCGCAGCGCCTGCGCTCGCCCACGGGCAAGTAGGTTAAGTAAGGCTCTCTCTGTGGCCCATCGAGGCTGTGGTTACTGTTTCCTTTCCCTCGCCTCAATTGCCTGAAGCCAGCTGTGACCACAGTGACAGCCACCAACATTAATTATGAGAGAATGCATCTTCTCCATCCTCAAATCCCAAACCAGAGACACAGACGAGAGCACGACGATAATATTTCATTCCAGCGGAGTCAGTCGGCCTCAACCCCAGCTCCCAGAAGCTGCAGGAAGGAAACGGTGAAAACATTCCACCGTTCAATTCACAGCTAGGATTAAATACCAGTAGGTGGGAGGCAGTTCAGCGGGCGGGCAGGGCTGGGACCCGGCAGGCGGGCGGCAGGGCCCCGGGGTGTCCCCTCTCCTCTCCTCTGGGGGCGTCATTAAAACTGGGCCGGACTCCTTCGCGATCCCTGGCGACGTCCTCCGGCCCCTCGGTTTTCTCCTCTGCTCCCGCCTTCTCCTCCCACCCCAGCCCCGCCCGCTGCTCCTGCGCCCCCTCTCCAGGTGCCCAAGCGGGGGACAGGGGCCCCACCGGCCGCTGTGGCGGGGGACCGCCAGCGCCAGCCGCGGGCGCAGCCTTTGTCGCCCTCTCCCTGCCCTTCCCTGGCTCCTCCCTCCCTTCCTGTCTCTTTCCCTCCTCCCCGGCTTTCTCTTCCCCCCCTTTCCCCGCCCTCTTTCTTCTCCTCTCCCCACTCGATGAAGCCTCCCCCGCCCCCACCGGTCTGGACCGCCCCAGGAGAAGGCTGGTGCCACCAACAGCAAGCCCAGCACCCCGCTGAGCTTTTCTCACTTTGCAGTGAGAAGGGGCAGGAAGGACATCTCAGCAGGTGGCCTGGCTGGCGTGTCCCAGGCTGCGCGCTGCTGGGAGGCAGAGCTGGGCCCTCCTCCTGGGCATTCCACAGGCCGCACTGCCTTGTGGGCCCAGTCCAGGTGGGCCCCCAGCCCCAGTGAGCTAGTCAGACACTAGCTCTGAGAACCACATGCTGGGGAGAAAGCAAAATGGAAGCAAAGACACCTTCACCTCTGCCCATTCCTCTGGGTACAGAAACACTCCAACCCGGCTCAGGTTGTTCACTGGGCCCAGCTGACTGGGGCAGGAGTGCCAGGCACGCCCCTGGGATGGGACCTCTCACACTAAGACTGTAGGTCCTGTCAAAGCCGGCCCCAGAGCAGAGGGAGCCTTCTCCAAATTCAGTCCCGCACTGTGGAAGCCTCTGACCTTTCCTCCTCTGCAGGAATGGGCTTCTCTATAGGTCATGTTGCTCTAGGAAAGAAAAAAGAATCACCATCTGACTTCTTGTGGAAAGCGTTTACTTAAAATCTTATTAAGGTTTATTTTTAGAGCCTCTGTCTGCTGGCCTATCACCAGAGACAGATTCCAGAGGGTCTCTGTGCTCTGCTGACCTTTAAGAAAAGACTTCAGAGCTGAGAGCAGAGCAGGCAGAGGCAGCTTCTGTCCTGGAAGGGCAGGGTTTGCTATGCTTGCAGCCCTCCCCTGCCTGGACAGGGAGGCAGCCCCAGCCTGGGTCCAACACGCATCCTGGATGCACCCAATGCAGGACGGTGGGAATCCTTTCCAGGGGTGAAGGACGTCACCCCTCCCTTCTGCCAAGCCTAGACATCATGAAAGACAAGTCTCCTTACCCACTCCCACTGCACCCACTCTCCACCAGACCCTGGGAAAAGGCCAGCTTGGCTTCTGGGATAGATAGTCTCATAACAACAATTACTGAGTGTACACTGAGTGAACATGCCAATAGTATTCTAAGTGCTTTACATGCAGGAACTCACAATTCTCACCATGACCCTATTACTATCCCCATTTTTCAGACTAAAAAACTGAGGCACAGAGAGTTTAAGCAATTTGTCCAAGGTTATAGAGCCTTCTGATTGTTTTCCTCATCATAGGAGAGTCCCCCCTGGGAGGCACCTTGCCTCAGCCCTCCTGACCGAGGGGCAGTATTGAGGGCATCACACCCTGGCCAGAGGGCCACAGGCCCTGAGGGGGGAAGGAAGGAGGTGTTGAGGAGGAGGGAGCATGAGCAGTGGAGAACTGCGGCAGGAGTGACTCTGCATCCGGCCTCGTGGAGCTGGTGCCAAGAGCTGCCTCTCCCTGCCAGACTGCAGAACCATCTCCCACATCTGCCTCTTGAACCGTTTCTCCTGCCCACCAGCCCCTTAGTATCTGCCTCTCCATCAGACTCCAGACAGTCACAGGTTCTAATGGCCCCCACAGCCCCCTGTTTTCCCAGCTTTGCGGGGCGCTGTGGAGGCTATGAGTAAAATTCCCAGAGACCTAGAGAGGAGCCTGGAGGCGTCTCAGAGAGTCATGCTGTTCCCCACTTGGAACCAATCAGAGGCAGAATGACTAGAAACAGGAGGTCTGTCACTATAAGATGTGCCCGCCTGGGGTTGGGGGCGAGGCTCAGGTCAGAAGGGGATGGGAGGGGCTGTTCCCATCAGGAACGAAATCAAGCCAACAACAAAGAACTAAAACGGCCCCGCTCTGCAAGGCAGGGCCCGGGCACCTTGGCATATTGCTGGGGGCCTTGGAGCAGCAAAGGAGGAATGCCAAGGTGGCGATAAGCCACAGCTGTCAAGAACCACTGGGAGAGTGTGCCCTCGCACACACACATGGACACACAGCTATGTCGCTCCAGCCAATCCCTCTTTCACCCACACAAACTTTGACACATTTTATGTTCCTATTGGGACATACCCTTCTTTAGACCTAAGCCCTGACACACACACACACACACACACACATACATACACACTCTAGTGGGCAAAATAAACACAAAAATGTGACAACCCAGTGAAGCACACTGTCATGAGATACACGCTTGTCCGTTTCCACCCACAGACAGGCCTACACCCAGAGAAGCACCATAACAGACTCCAAGATGTATCAACAGGGCATTCCTGGGGAGGGTCCCCATGCCCACTGCTGGCCATGCCCAGACAGCTGTCCCCAGAGCCTGGGTGTCTGGCGCCCAGTTGGCCATAGCTCAGCCGCTCAAAGCAAGGCTGGTTCTAGGAAGCTCTGAGAATCCCAGGAATTGCTCTGGAGGTGCTGGGCTTCCCGCAGGGATTTCAGACACTCAAACTGTGGGGCTACCCGAGAAGCTCTGGGAACATCCCAGAGAGAAAGGACAGCTTTGTCCACTTTGAATGGCCTAAAGCTTCCACGGGGTTCCTCTTCTTACGTGGGCAGTGCCGATCAACAGTGCTCCTCAGCTCCACGGTGTCCACTGACCTGGATGCCGAGTGCTGGTGCCCACAGTTTGTTCTCTATGTAGATCCGCACAGAAAAAAGCATCAGAACTGGAGGCTGAATAGCACAGAATTAAAAGCACAAATTATGGAGCCGGACAGCCTGGGTCTGAATCTATGCTCTGCCACTCACTAGCTGTGTGACCCTGGGCAAGTCACATAACCTCTCTAGGCCTGAGTTTCCTCAAGTGTGAAATGAGAACAATAATAATACTTACCCCATAGGGCTATCGTCAGAATTAAATGGGTACATTTGAACAAAGCGCTTAAGCAGCCTGTATGGCCTGAGCACTCTAAGGAGATGGGTAGACAGGGGATAGGGCCTGAGGCCCTGTGGCAGGTGACAGGGTGGCTGCTGAGGAGAGGAGGGTGGGGCAGGGAGAGGTAAATGAGCTTGAAATGACCACAGACCTGTGTCTCTGTGCTGTCAACTCTGATATTCTGGAGGGAAAATAAATAAGAGCATAATTCCTGTAACCGTATTTCCTCATGGAGCATGGTGTGCTCAGCCAGAAAGCCGCAGGACACAGGAACATGGTCCTATTATTACACAATAACATCGAAGATAATGTCCTCCCCAAAGGAGCCCAGAGCACCGAGAGACTGCAGATCAGAGTGCAGCTTGCCCAGGCCCTGCGCCGAGTGCCCAGGGTGCCAGCTGCCAGCATGGGGCTACTCCTGCAGTGCGGACACAATGCCTGGGCCCAGGGCATCACCCACCGAGAGCCCCACCGCACTCAGCGGAAGCTCTGCATCCTGAGTGCTCCCGCAGCAGGGCCGTTGTCACGTGGTCGGCTGCACAGACAGGCTACCAACCTCGGAGGTCCCCCCAGCTCTGAAGCCTTGGGGGGGCTCTGTAGATGGAGGGGACCCCTCTCTGCTACCTGCACAGTTGACAGCAGAAATGGGGAGTGTGCTGCAGGCCTGCCTGCTGCCTATTGGCTCTCACTCCCCGGCCCCCTCTGCAGGCTGTGTCTGTGTCTGGGAAGGTCCCATGAGCTGTGGCAGAGGGGCTAGAGGGAGACGCCACAAGGGAGGGCAGGGAGTGACTCTTGGGTCCCTTGCAAGCCCTCGCTGTGGTGTGGACTCCATTTCCAGGCTGCCTCTGCCGGACTGGACTGCACGTGTCGGGAGAGATGCTTTCTCTTCTGTGTGAAGAAGCAGAGACCCACTGAAGGACTGCACGAGTCCCAAGAAATTCCAGAGAGTTGATGACTAGATTGGGCCACTGAGGCAAAGGAAAGCTGTGCAGGATCAAGTATGAGTCTGGTAGGGTGAAGCCTAGATCATTCTCTCTGCTAGTAGAGCCGTATTTGATACTTTTCTTTTAGGAGAAAGAGGGGAGCATGTGGCTCCTGACCTGAGGAGTTCTTAATGCCCTCATTCTGGACCTCCTACCTTCCTGGCTCTCAGACGCAATCATTTGTGCTGGAAGCTGACTCCTAATCACCTTCAGTGAAGGATGGCCAGACCACTATTATTTCCTGAACACTCTGGCAACAGGCACCAGGGAACCCCAGAGTCAAAACAATTTTTGCCTGGATTTCTACAAGGTCCAGGTCTCAAACGGATGTCATAAGACAAGACCACTCTATTCCTAGTGCTCAGTGTAGAGACAGGCCCATAGCAAGTGCTCACAGCTTTTCAAAGCCTTCCCATAACTGATAGTGTAACAAGAGCAATGACCCCGACAGCAACCACAATCGGCAGCATTTGCTGAGTGCTAATTATGGGCCGGCACAATTCTGCATGCTTTGTATGTATTACCTCATTTCATGTTTTCAGCAACCCTATGAGATAGGTACTCTTCTTAACCACATGTTACAGATGAGGAAGTTGAGGCACAGAAAGGTTAAGTACTTTGCTTAAGGCCACACAGCTACTTAGTGTTGGGGCCAGCACTTGAGCCTGGGTAAAGTCCAAGCATCCAGCTGGGAGACACAAAGTCTTTGGCACAGGCCTCAGCCCCCTCTCCAGCTGCAGCCCTTGACATTCTCCACCTTGCATTCCACTAAAACCTTTGCACCTCTTTCTCTCTCTCTCTCTCTCTCTCTCTGCCTAGGCTGTTTTTCCTACCTCACCACCCTCCCCCCAGTTTCACTGCACCCTTCTGCCTAACACCTACTTCTCTTTCCAGCTTCATCTTACCTGCCCCCTCCTCTTGGAAGGCTCCCCTTCTCTGCATTCTCTAAGTCCCCAAGGCTGAGCTGGGTGCCCCTCTTTTGTGCTTCCATAGCGACAGTATGACCCCATCTTTGCACACATTGCCCTTGCTATTATGGTGCCTTTATTTCTCCTAACGTGACTTGTTCTCTCTGGACAACAATGATGTCTTATCCCTCACAGTACCCCCAGCACCTGGCAGTCTGGTTAGCTCTTGGTCGTCGCTTGTTGAGCTGTGAACTTTACCTCTAGAGGGCCAGAGAGTAAATATAGACTTTGTGGACCACATGCAGACTGTCACTTCCATTCCTCCTCCCAACCCTTTGAAAGTACAAAAACCATCCCTAGCTTGAGCATCACACAAAAACAGGCCATGGGCCAGATTGTGTCCCCAGTTCATGGTTTGCCAGCTCCACTGTCACTGGAGGAGATATTTCTCAACAAAAAAATTACTAGTCAATCTAATTCAATGATTTTCATGTGAGGGGCAACGCAGGCATTTCAAAAAAGGGGGTGGGAGTGGGCAGGTGTTTTGGTTGTCACAATGCTGGGTGTTGGGGGGCAGGGAGTGGGGTTCAGCAACACTTGGCGCCCAGGAGCCCCAGATGCTAACGCTCAGGGTGGTCCTGCAGAACCGCGACAGCGACTCACCGAGGAGTGTGTGCTGGCCATTTGCTGCTTCTCTCCCACTGCTTTCTGGCAGCAATGAAATGACCTCGGGAAGTCACTGAAAGAAAAGACTTGGTTAGCGGTCAATCCAACAGCCCGGAGCAGCCTGCAGAAGAGCCCACTTGACTCCTTCTTCCCCACTCACTGGAGTTTAGGCACACGTTGCGATATAACAGGTAAAATTCTCATATTCTCATCATGAAAACTAATCAAATATTGGTCTAAACCATTACTTGAGTGCCTACAGGCATTTTGGAAAAATGTGCCAATAGGTACAAAGGGTTCAGTCCTCCTTTTGAACACTTCAACCATGGTCCTCCAGGCCATAGAGACCTTATTAGAACTGGATGTAGAAGCCTGGGTTTGAGACAACTTCTAGCCCTTATTAGCCATGGGTGAGTTCTTGACTCTCTTAGAGTCTTCCTTTCCCCATTTGTAAAGCCAAAATGATTGATCCTTTCCCAGCGTTTTTTCTGGGGATGATTTCGGTAATCCAAAAGATATGAGGCGTACTAAAGCTTTTACGAACTATAAAGCACCATAAAAATCTAAAATCCCCTAGGATGTCTTGCTTTTACATACTTCAGAATCTGGTTCTTCATAAAAATTCTTTCTGCCTTGAAATTATTCCTCTTTAGAACAAACAAGCCATTTGCACAAGAAAACAGGTCTTGTTGACCTTTCATTTTGGGGCCAGATCCTAAGGTTCCAATTTCACAGCATTATTTGGAAGTTCCAGGATAGGCTTTCATAAAGGATTGGGGTGATTTGTTCTGTCACTGATTCATTCATGCCGTCAACATCCATGTCAAGGGTTCTATGTTGGCCCAGCTGTGCAAGGCTCTCTTAAGACTGCTATCTTATCGTCTCCATGTCACAGCAACCCCATGAGGTGGGTATTACTATCTCTGTTTTACAGATAAGGAAACTGAGATTTAGAGAGTTTAAGGAACTTGTCCAAGGAAATTCAATGAGAAATTAACTATTTTATTTTTTAAAAACCAATTTTCTATAAAATTAAATGTAGTTATTTTAATCTTTCTAGAAGACAAAACAAGCCTTACCTTCTTGTTAAATCGCCAACATATGCACAATCATTCTTCAGTAAAAACCAAAATATGCAAATGCAAAAGAACTTGATGGAAAAATGCAAATTCCTAAATTTCAGAAACATTGCTTTTTGTCTGTTTTTCCTATGTGCTAAAAGCAGATCCTGCAAATCAGTTTTTGAAGAAAAATTGGAAAGGAAGTGAAATACGACTGAAAACTTCAGGAAAAATGAAAAAGACTTGATTATGAGGACTTTTGGCTGTTATTTCTCACTTTCCCCAGAATTCTTTGTTGGTTGATCTCTCTCGTGTCTCAAAAGGATGGGAGCTATTTTCACCTCACATTTCCTGCTCTGTTCCTTCATGCAATGAGCCTGAGCCCTCAGGCCTGAAGCAAATATTTTCTCTCCCATCCCTTGCCATCCCACTCTCCTTTGCCTCCAATGACTCCAGCGTTTCCTGGCTTCTGTAGACCAGAGAAGCCAAAATCCCACAGCTAAGTCAACTCATGTTCACAACATGGCAGCATGCTCCAGGGTCTGCCAATGAGTTATTTTATTGCCTTGAGTCCTTGACTTGCAGGTTCTTAGCTCAATTTCTGACAAAGCAGAAGGACGTACTATATCTGTGAGGTTGCAGGATGTGAGGGAAGAGGACTGCTCTTTTGATATTAGCTTTATTTTTGTCATCCCACAGTCACCTCAGCTGGCCCAGAAAACACTGAACAATACCCATTTCTCTAAAGGCTTTTGGAGATGCCTTCAACTTTTGGAAGAACCTCAGTCTAGTGAGTCTGATTAGTTCACTCCCCAGATGTGTGTGCATTGAGTGGGCCAAGTGTCCCAAGTGACAGCAGGCTCAGCTGGACACTGGGAAGAGAGGTGTCTATAGGGCAGGAGATACTATTACTGTCGGGCAAAATTTCCTCTAACTAGCAATGGCCCTCCCCTAATACCTTCATTATAGAAATCCAATCTATTCTCAAGGCCCACCTCACACTCTTGACTTTGACCGCCTCCGCTGGAAGAGACCCCCCACTGCAGTGCTGCTGTGCACCATGTAGAAGCATGTGTCACTGACCACTATGAATCCTTGTTTGCATGAGTGTCTTCGTTTCCTTCCTGGATAGTCAGTTCCTTGAAAGCTGGAACTAAATCTCATGCAGCCTTGGACCCAAAATAGCACCTAGCCTAGGCTTTGCACAGAGGAGGTATTCAATAAATTATTTTGTTTATAAAATAATAGCTTCTTTAGGTTTCTGCAGTTTTTCTGGGTTTAACGGTTATAAAAGTGTATGTGGGAAAATCTCTAAATTACTTGGAAATTAAACAAAATACTTAAAAATAATCCATTAGTCAGAAAGGAAGTCTGGAGGAAAATTAGAAAATATTTTAAACTGAATGAAAATGAAAACATAACATACCAAAATTTATAGGATGTGCCTAAAGCAGTGCTTAGAGTGAAACTTATAGAATTAAATGCTTATATTAGAAAAGAAGAAAGGTGTCAAAATAATCATCTCAGCCTGTACCTTGAGAAACTAGAACAGGAAGAGTAGAATCAATCCAAAGCAAGCAGAAGGAAGGAAATAACAAAATGAGAGCAGGTATCAGTGAAATTGAAAACAGAAAACAATAGAGAAAATCAATGAAACCAAAAAGATGGTTCTTTGAAAAGATCAGTAAAATTGATAAACATCTAATTAAAAAGGAGAGAAGAAACTACCAGTATTAGGAATGAAAGAGGGGACATCACTACAGACCCTGTAGGCATTAAAGAGATAATAAGGGAATTACTAAGAACAACTGAACACACAAAATTCTAACAATTTAGATGAAATGGACCAGTTTCTCGGAAACCACAAACTACCAATTCAGTCATGATGAAATAGATAATCTGAATAGTCCTATAATGATTAAAGACATTGAATTCATAGTTTAAAAACCCTCTGAAAAAGAAATCCCCAGGCCCAGATGGTCTCACTGGCAAATTCTGGCCAACATTTCAAGAAGAAATAGTAACAAATAGGAGAGGAAAAAGCACTCCCCTGCTTGTTTTATGAGGCCAACATTACCCTGATACCAAAATCAGACAAAGACAGGGCACAAAGAGAAAACTTCAGATCAGTATCCCTCATGAACAGAGATGCAAAATCCTCAACAAAATATTAGCAAATTGAATTCTGCAATACAATAATACGCCATGACTAAACGTCCTTCAACGAGTAATTGGGGCAATGATACTCTTCTATTTTCTCACTGTGGTGATAGGTACAGAAATCTGTATATGCATTACAAGTCATAGAAATTACACACACACACACACACACCCAAACCAATTTTACTATGTTAATTTCTAAAATAAAGTTTAAAAAAATTATGTGTGGGGTGTGTGTGTGTCATCTCTATGATGATGGTAACTACCATTTCAAATACATTTCATAAAATTCTCTCAACTGCAACCATATAAGGTATGTTTTATTGGTCTCATTTTGACAGATGGGGAAACTGAGTCTTAGAGAAGTGAAATGTCCTCACATGTATTAGTTAGCAGAGCCAAGCCACAGGTCCAGGCCCTCTGTGGAAGGTCCATTCAGCAGAGGTTGCTGCAAACTCTCCCCGGCTCTGTGCTTATATCCCTCAGATGGTGACAGCAGTGAAACTGTGTGTCCCCTGGATACAAAGTGAATTCAGGAACAATTCTACTCAAGGCCGCTGGATGCAGGAACCTCACTGGAGATCTTCAGCACCGGTGGGAACACACAGCACAGGGAAGCTGGGCACAGCTCCTGGCCACCGCAGTTAATCTCCATGAAACTGAGAGTTCTGTTCCCCTACAACACAGAAGGCTTCTGCCTCTCTTTAAATGCCTGTTCTCCAGACAGTTTCTTTTCTTTTTGTGATTGTCTTTTCTACCATAAGGGTAGGTATTCTACCATGTTCCAAGTAAGCAGTGGGAAGAGGGAGTGGAGGAGCAAGAATGAAGATTGCTAGAGTGTTCCATTCTACTTTCTCTAATTCCCTCCAACTTCACTAAAATATTTATCAGAGAGACTCTCTACTCCTCATCCCTATCCTCCAAAAAGAGTGTGTCTTAACGGAGAAGGACAGAGCAGAAACTGGGAAGCCGGGGGCCTGATTGATAGAGATGGTCAGGAGGAGTGGGTGATGTGCCAGAAGACACTGCCAAGAAATGTGCTGATGAAAGATTGTTGTTTATTTGTCTATCTCTCCTCTTCTTTCAATTCAATTAATGTTTATCAAATATCCAGAGGGGTATGTGTCCAAAGAAATGGTTATATCCCCTCTTTATCAGAGAAGTAAATCTTAATGGCCAAAGCCATCTTTAGGGGACTTAATTTTAAAATGGAATAACAGCTCAAGATGCTGCAGGGACGTTTGCTAGAACTCTGGAACGCATCAGGAAACTCTGGACAAGTAAGGAGTAAGTTTATTTCCCAGTGGTCACCAGCACAGTCCGTACCCTGTTGAAATCACTTCTTGTTGGAGTGATACTGTGCTTCAAGAGGCTTGATTCTGGCTAAAGCATCCTGAGGCTGAGTCATTCCCGACCACTCCAACCTCCTGGGAATAAGTCTGGCACGAGGGCTGAGGGCTGGATTCTAGAAGGCACAGAAGATGTAAAACTAAGCCTGAGCCTATGTTGGAGTGGAGCAGCGGGCTAAGGGAGAAGTTTGCAGGGTCTGAGCAATTTGTGTTTGGTGAGCAGAGAGTATGGGCAAGACACGTTTCATATACTGGCTGGAGGAAATCCTAGCAAAGGGCAAAAGATGACTTCCTCTTATTTTTTCTGGGAGCATGAGGCATCCAGGCATGCTTTTGAGGGAAGCCAACTGTGTGGCTCCTGTGCTTGAAGCCACAAGCCCTAATGGCTGGAAGAGGAGCAACCCTAGGAGGACATATTTTAAGAAAGAGTAAGAGAGAAACCCGTCGCTTCTCAGGCAGCCCGAGGTTATCCTGGGAGTCAGGATTCTTTCTTCCCTAAGAAT